CACGAACTAAGTCTATATCAACTCGCAGTTCCGAAGTTTTTTTCATCATATCATTCGAAATGTCGCATTCATATCGTGATGTTTTCCAGACCTTTCCCGCGTATCGGAAGGGATCGCCTCCAGTTACGTCTGATGCTGACCGTTCTCTTGAGTTCCCTCGCAGACATGGCTCTCAGTACAGACCGAAGTCGAAATGCCAATCGGTATCCCAAACAACCGATGTCAGATCAGATAGTGACAAGGAAACTTCATCACTGCCTCTAGTCTGGGTGAGTGATCCTCTACTTTCTATCTGGCGGACAAAATCAAACAATGGCACAGGTTGAAGTCCGCGACAACGTTATCCCGCCTCACGCTGTTCCATTCGCCTCGGACAGTCACGGACCTCTTTTCATAGCCCGAGCTTATCTAGAAGTAAGTCTTCTCATACAAATGCTCTATCATGTGACTTATGAGTGCAGGGAGCATTTTGTAAGTCAGCTCCATCAGGCATCGATTTTGCTCATTCGTGTCACCCGCAACAGTCCTGGGCAAGGCTGGTCCTCAGCTCACTAGCGGTGCTATCATTAGCTACGGAAGTTTGGAAATAACGGTAGTGACCACAACTTTTGAGGTCGTAATTTTGCTGAGCGTATGACCTAGGTGACCCGGTATGATGTACTCGTGTGCGCCGGACGGCTGAGTTGGGAGCTTCCGTATTCTTCTGGGACAAGCTCTATGCGCCAGGACACCGTCATCACAAAATATCACATCAATCACGGTCTTGAACAAGCTGTCACGTATCATCAGGATATTCCTGAAAACGTCTATAATTCCGCAGATAATCACAACGAGGTCGATAACAACCAGCGTTCAGTGACTCTCGATCCCGACCCCGCCATCGTCGCATCTCATACCAGGACCCGCAGCCACTCTACATATGGCTTTTTGTCAAAAGAATCTTTAGATGTTGACATATTGAAAGCTCGCGACACTTTCGTTCCCCTGAAATCTCCTCTTGAACTAACGGAACGGTCACGATCACTCCCTCCACGGGCAAGAAGATCAGCTGAGTCAAGCTTTGATGCTAGGGCGGAACTGGGTACTTTTCGGTGCGACAGTGCGCAAAGCGCTGGTGTTACTACGGTCAGTACGTCCGCTACTCACAGGTCTGAGCATGCACCGGTGTCCCGCCCAAATGTGGTAATGTCATCGAAACCTCAAGTCCGTCTCGATTGCACCAGTCAAGGATCTTACAGGCTCCCTAGGTGAGTTGACAGTGACAACTGAGAGACGCTTTTTAATGAGGAGTTTTCACAGCGTGGCTAGTGCTGTTGAATACTCAGCAAACGAGCGAGGCACCCCAGTCAGTTCGTTCGGTGGATCCGAAATCACAGGGTTCCACGAGGCAGTGAATGTCGATGGCCGGAGTGCATATAGCAGTTCACCTCGTGAACCTCCAGCTCAATCGGTACATGCTGGTTTTGCCCAGGATATCTTACCACGTCGAAGATATGCAAACACTGGTATCGCTCCTTCCACGCCTGTAAATCACCACACAAACCAGTTCTTGTCGACTTCAGCAACGAGCCACTCATTGGCAAGCAATGCCCTTGATTCTCGATTCACCAATACTCCCAACCTTTCGTCAAAGGACGACTCTCAGTTCACCCCCACGCATTACTCATCTTCCTCACACAAAGTGTTGAGTGATTCGCCACTGTCTCAACCATCTACAGTTTTCTCTCGTGGTACTTGGGCGCGCACCCAAGGAACCCTTGCTTCGTGTCTCTGCATCCTCGACGATGTCAAAGACACGAACAAATATCAGTCAAAACTGGCCAACTGTCCCGTACACCCTCCCGTACACCCTCCCGCAGACACGATCGACATCTCTGCCAATTTGAGCGATTTCGGACATGTCAATCAGTATGATCAGTGGGCATCTCCTGTTGCCAAAACACATGGATGGCAACGTGGTATGCAACACCAGGAATCTCAGTTAAAGGATAGCCCAAGTCGCATTCCAGAACCCCCTACATTTCTATCCACCAATTCATCACCAGCCCAGAGCTCTCTCGTCGGTGATCATACAGATATCGATCTACGTTCGACTCATTACTCACGTCATGACGTACCAAAGAGGTCCGCCGAGACGTCATCCGAGGACGAAAACACGACTGTTTCGGAGCATGTATGCGACTCCGAGCATTGGCAGCTTGTCTCCCGAACAACCTTTGGCGTCGAAGCACAAACTTGTGATGATACTGGAAGCGATGTATTCACCAGTGAGCGTCCTGGGCCAATCACCATTAACCTGTCGAACGCTGGGATCGTGACGAGCGAAGTCAAACTTCTGCCTCACCCTATGCCGCTCATAACTTCTGCATCTCAAGTAGCTGGAGACAGAAAACGGGAGCACAGTCGTGCCGTAGTGCAAGAGAGCACCCTTGAACGGGAGCTCGTTCAAGAGAATCGAGTCGCAGTTCCTGCGGTATCCCAAACTATAGGCACGGGGGAGTCAACATCGGTTGTTCCCTCTTGCGGAACCCCGGTAACTGAAGAATGCGCACCATTGTCGACTTTCACATGTAGTCCAAACTCACCTCCTTCGCAACGGCCGTCTGCCCAGACAATTTCATGTAACGATGGCTCAGTTACGGATGACGAGCTCCACAGCCTTCGCGAGTGCGCAGACTCATCTGTCCTCGCCTGTGCATCCCTAGCACACGAGGAAAACAATAATTCAACCAGAGTCATCGCGGTCGAGAGCACACAGAAGACAAGTCCGGCATCAAACGATATTCGAAAATCATCTTTCGTTCAGAGTACATTGACGATAGTGGAGAGTCCCTCTCTGGCTTCTCACAGGCACAAGGAACCCCACAATCAAGATGTAGCCAGGGACAAGCCTAGTCAAGTCACCCTGTACGTCTTCCCACGTTGTGTTTACTCTCAACTCATATCCTCTAGTGCTTCGAAACTTGAGGAGGATTGCGAGCGTCAAACTGTGGGGGCAGAGAAAACCATTATGATCAAGGGGCAGAAAGCGAGGTGAAGCAAAATTCCACGTCCTATTCCCGTACTATCAGTGTTGTCGAAGGAAATACGTCGAAGTCCGCGGTGTTGAACGATGACAGGACGATAAATGAGGGTGCCAACGGTGCCGCATTGTCTCTGTCTATCAATCCTAGGTCAAAAATGACTCCCTCGTACGTGATGCAGTTCGAGTTCTTTGCCCTCCAATAAACCTCCTTTAGCGAACCGGGTGTTCCGCAGGATTCGATGATGTATCGCATTGAATCTGAATACGAACACCAGTCTTTGGACCTCGACACAGTCTCAAGGAATTCTATTCACATATCTAGCCATGATTCGACTGAGGGCAGTGAAGAGCACATGCAAAGACAGTCAGCCCCAAATTTATCCCTCAGGAACGAGCAATTTACTGATGATGAGCTCAACAGGGCTCGTGAAGAAGTAGACTCCTCTGTGCTGGTCCGGTCGTCCTTGATACCTGCGGAGAACATTGGAACACCAGCACCGGCCCCACACAGAGCTCTCGATAATACACGGAAGTCGAGTCTAGCATACAATGATCTCGGGAACTCGTCTCCGACCGAAAGCACGTCCAGGATGGGTCAGACTTCTTCCCCAGTAATTGACCTGAAGGACGGATCCTGTGGTCAAATTGTAGGCACGGAACTACCTACTCACAGCTTCTCGTACGTAGCTTCACCGCCGTATTGCCCCCACTGACATTATCCAGTCCCCCGAATGCTTATGTCGACAACAGAATGCCTGTATCAGCAGATTATATGCGCCAGGATCTGGAGGGCAAAGGAGACTATCATGCAAGGGAGATCGAGAGTGAAGTTACACTCAAATCGGAGTCTTATTCCACTGCCGTCGAGAGTGTCAGGCAGTCAGAGAGTGCCATGGTGTTGAACGCTGGTGGACGGTCAGAGAAAGACGCTAACAATGATGTCTCATCCCTGTCATCAACTTACGCTGAGCGTAAGCTATCTCTTTCGTAAGTGACAAAATCCCATTCAAGTTTGAGCTGCTAACAATACACCTTTTTCAGTGAACCGGACGTTCCACAGGATGCGAGAATCAATCCCATTCACTCTTCCTGCGAGCACCAGTCCTCAGAGATTAACGTAGCTTCGGATGACGAGCTCTATAGGCATCGCGAGTGCACAGACTCATCTGCCATCGTCTGCTCATCCGTGGCACACGAGGAAAACGATACTTCAACCAGAGTCATCGCGGTCGAGAGCACCCAGAAGTCAAGTCCAGCGTCAAACGATACTCAAAATTCATATTTCGTTCAAAGTACTTCGACGATAGCCGAGAGTTCCTCTCTGGCTTCTGACGGACACGAGGAACTCTACGATCAAGACGTAGCCAGGGACAAGTATAGTCAAGTCTCCCCGTACGTCTTTCCTACGCTGTGTTTACTCTCAACTAAAATTATCTAGCATTCCGAAACTTGAGGGTGAGATGGAGTCTTATTCCAGTGCCGTCGAGAATATCAGGCAATCAGAGAGTGCCATGGTATTGGACGCTGGTGGCCGATCAGATAAGGACGCTAACAGTGACCTTTCATCCCTGTCATCAACTTACGCTGAGCGTAAGCTGTCTTCTTCGTAAGTGACAATCCCGTTCAAGTTTGAGCTGTTAACAATCTTTTCTCAGTGAATCGGGCCTTCCACAAGATGCGGGAATCAATGTCATTCAGTCTGCACATGAGTACCAGTCCTCAGATATCGGTGTAGCTTCAGCGACTTCCGTGCAAACCTTGGGCCGTCACGCGATAGAGAACAGAGAACAGAGTTCTCTGGTCACTATACAAGAAAGACCTTGCTTTCAACATGTGGCGATAGACGAACCTTGTCAACGCTTATCGTATGTAATTCCTATGCTATTTATTTTGTCGTCGACTAAGGTTATCCAGCGCTCCGAAAATTGACAGCAACAAACCATCAGAGTGCGTGCACCAGGCTGTGGAGAGCAAAGGCGACCGTCATGAACTGGAGACGGAAAGCAAGTTCAACCTCAGCTTGACAGCAGATTCCAATTCTGTCGGGATTGTCGAGCGATCCACGTCGAAGACTGTGGTATCGAAAATTCATGGGCCAATGGATCAGAACACCAATGCCCCTGCGTTCCCTTTGTCCCAAATGACCACGCTACCTCCTTCGTAAGTGACATACCATTTGAGCGTCTGATATTGGGTAAACCTCTCCCAGTGACCCGGGTATCCCACAGGATGCGGAAGCCAAACTTATACAGTCTGAATGCAAACACCAGTCTTCAACTGGGGTCGACGCAGCTTCGATTGACCTCGTGCAGACCTCGAACTATGATTGCTCAACTGAGATCCAAGAGTACCGATCAGCTCAGTTATTCTCCTGTAGTGACGAGCCTGGAGCAACCTTATCTACCCACGTCTACTTGTCCTTGGAACAGAACAATCCAAACTCACTGCCATCCATCGACAAAGCAGTTGAGAATATGCAGGAGTCGAGTTCGGTCAATGGAATTTCAAAATCTCTGACATCGACGACATATCAGAGCCATTCTCTTGTCGCCAGCACGCACGAAAAATCTTGTGGCCAAGATATGACCAAGGACCAGCCTAATCAAGGTTCATCGTACGTAGTTCCTACTATACTACGTTCACCCTTGGCTAAGACTGTCCAGCTCCCCAAAATATGAGGCTGATGAAGAGGGTGTAACAGCAGATCGCAAGCACCAGGCCATCATAGAGTTGAGATGCGAGTCTCAGTCTTCAGATGTCAACGAGGTGTCAAAAACTTTCGAATCGGAGCACACCTGGCTGTCTCTTTCGTAAGTGACAACCTCATTCAAGTTCGAGCTCCTTATAATACATCTTTTACAGCGAACCGGGTGTTCCACAGGATGCGGGAATCAATTTCATTCAGTCTGGACGAGAGCACCAGACCTCAGAGATTAACGTAGCTTCAAAGACTTTCGTGCGAACCTCAAGCCATTGCTCAATTGAGAACAGAGTTCAGAGTTCTCTAGTCACTGTGCAAGAAGAACCCTGGTGCCAACCTCGTCAATGCTTTTCGTATGTATTCCCTATGCTGTGTATTTTTGTCCTCGACTAAGGTTAACCAGTGCTCGGAAACTTGACATCAACGAACTACCAGAGTGTGTAATTCCTGCTATACTGCGTTCACCCTTGACTAAGATTGGCTAGCTCTCCAAAACATGAGGCTGATGAAGAGGGTGTAACTGCTGATCGCATGCACCAGGCTATCGTAGAGTCGAGATACGAACGCCAGTCTTTAGATGTCAACGAGGTTTCGAAGACTTTCGAACCGGAATCCACCAGGATTCATCACTCGCTTGAGAGCGGTGAATGGCACACCCAACGACAGTCAGTTTGGACGTCTTCTTCTAGCGCCAAGACACTCACTGGTGATATACTCGGCAGAGGTCGACAACAGGTATATTCATCTGGTATCGTCGGACCTCAAGTTGGGGAGAGCAACACATCTCCATTAAACGTCACAATCAAGAATATACATACGTCAAGTACAACGCCTGACGATCTTCGGAGCTCACCTGTGCTTGAAGGCACATCAGCGATGGAGCAGACTCCTCCTGCAGGTGATTCATTACAAGGGGCTTCTGATCGTGATGTGACCAGGGTCCGATATAGTAGTCGAAGCTCATCGTACGCAGTTCTTACACTTAGTGATATTAACTTGACTAAAATTATCCAGCATCCCGAAATTTGAGGACAACAATGTCGACGTATCAGCAGGTTATATGCGCCAGGCTTTGGTGACCAGAGGAGACTATCATGAACAGAGGATGGACAGCGAGGTTGAGCAAAATTTGGCGTATCATTTCTGCAGCGTCGGAATGCTCGGGCGATCGACTTCAGACACTGTGATAGGGAACAATGATAGGCGGATGGAAAAGGACGCCGAAGACACTGCGTTTCCCTTGTCCTCGACTACTATAAGGTCCAAACTGTCAATCGCGTAAGTAGTGCGCCATCTGAACTTTTTACACTGGAATAATACCCTCGCAGTGAGCCAGACATTCTACGGGATGCGGCTACCTCTTCAAAGGTTATCACCACCTCAACAAATTCCACGCAGACTTCGAGTTATAGGCCGACTGTAAATAATGAACACGTCTGCCAACAGCCAGCCCGAACTTCCTCCTTTAGTCACGAGTCCCCCATCAACCAATCGCAAACAACTACCCCCGTCCACCTGTTCTTGGTACCTGGAGAAAACAATCCGACTCCAGCACAGCCCTTCAGCGTAGCATCATCCAAGAACACGCAGCAACCGATTCCAGCCTTTAATGGTCCGGATTCATCTTTACTTGAAGGCGTGCCCACGACAGGTCAGACCTCTTCTCCGGCCACTTACGAATGCGGGGAACCCTGCGGTCGAGATGAGGCTAGAGACCTGCCTAGTCAAGGCTCCTCGTACGTCGTATCTACTTCTACGTTGCGCTTGTCCTCGACTGAGAATTGTCTAGTACACCGAAACTCAGGGACGACAAAGAGGATATATCGGCATATTGCACGTTCCAGGGTATTGTCTCGAATGAGGGCGACCATCCTGCGCCATGCGCTGAAGGAACTATAGGTGTGAAAGCGGGAGAAGACCACTGCCTGAAGACAGGACCAACGGTCACATCTGCGACTTGTGATTCAATCACCGTCCAATGCTCATCTCAGACGAAAAATCAAGAGAATACTTCGTGTGTTGCTGACACGAGACGATGTGGTGCGCTGGGGACTGCGTGTGACACTTGCTCAATACCGTCAGATGACTGCGGGGCATGTACAAGCACGGCGCCTAATGATTGTCCCCCGGCCGATGAACAGTTAGCACAAGCTGCTACTACCGATTGCGCCTATAAATGTCCTTCGACCATGGACTCCAAACCATGCTGTCCTGAACCTAAGGGACCTCCTTCGTACGTGTCATACTTCTGAAGCTTTATATTGTAATAAACTTTGTGCAGAGAGCCCTGTGGTGACGTCATCAAGAAATCGTGTGCAAGTGATTGTTGTCCTGCGCCATGCGCTGAAGGAACCTCAGGTGTGAAAGTTCGAGAAGACGATTGCACGAAGGCACAATCAATAGTCACATGCGGTGTGACCTGTGATTCAAACATCGTCCGATGCTCATCTCAGACGGAGAATAATACTTCATGTGCTGCTGCTGACGCGAAACGATGTGATACGTGGGACACATGCTCAATACCGTCGGATGATTGTGGGCCATGCACAAACACGGCGCCTAATGGCTGTCCCCCGGCCGATGGACAGTTGGCGCAAACCGCTGCTACCGATTGCGCATATAAATGTACTTCGATTATGGACTCCAAACCATGCTGTCCTGAACCTAAGGGACCTCCTTCGTACGTGTCATACATTTCGAGGCTTTATAATGTAATAAACTTCGTACAGAGAGCCCTGTAGTGACGTCATCAAGAAATCGTGTTCAAGCGATTGTTGTCCTGCACCATGCACTGAAGGAACCCCAGGTGTGAAAGCTCAAGAAGGCGATCGCATGAAGGCAGGATCAACGGTCACTTGCAGTGTAACCTGTGATTCAAAGACCGTCCAATGCTCATCTCAGACGGAGAATAGCACTTCATGTGCTGCTACTGACACGAAGCGATGTGATGCGCGGGACACCTACTCAATGCCGTCGAATGATTGTGGGGCAAGCACAACCGCGGCGCCTAATGACTGTCCCCCGGCCGATGAACAGTTGGCACAAACTGCTGCTACCGATTGCGCATACAAATGTACTTCGATCATGGACTCCAAACCATGCTGTCCTGAACCTAAGGGACCTCCATCGTACGTGTCATACATTTTAAGGCTTTATATTGTAATAAAATCCGTGCAGAGAGCCCTGTAGTGACGTCATCAAGAAATCGTGTGCAAGCGATTGTTGTCCTGCGCCATGCGCTGAAGGAACCCCAGGTGTGAAAGTACGAGAAGGCGATTGCACGAAGGCAGAACCTACAGTCACATGCAATGTGACTTGTGATTCAAACACTGTCCAAACTTCATCTGCTGCTGACACGAAGCAATGTGGTACGCCGAAGTCTGCGTGTGACACTTGCTCAGTACCGGCAGATGATTGCGGGGCATGTACGACCACGGCACCTAATGATTGTCCCTCGACCGACAAACAGTTGACCCAAACTGCTATAACCGATTGCGCACATGAATGTTGCCCAACCACGAACTCGCCGGTGAAATCATGCTGAAATATGCCTTCCATGTACGTGCCAAAAAATCGTAATTTGATGCTCATTATGATTCTTGTTCACAGAGGAAGAAATGTAAACTCGTCTTTCAAGACGTTTACATGTGAGGAAAACGAGAATGGACACGAGGAATTTGGTGGTGCACTCAAGGAGAATTCGACTGATGGACGAGACTCTCGTAGATTGAACTTTCAAGTTTCTTGCTTTAATCATGCTGGGACAAGCTTAAGCACCGACGTAATTTAGAAAAACGCGTACATATATACTTTTCGATGACGTGTCTGTATTTCATAGCAAGGCTCCCGTGACAACCCGTGAGCCGTATGAGTGGGAATGACCCAACGCAATACTAGTACTGGGAGGGTACGACGGAGATTGCATGTCCGTGAGGCCCAAAACAGAAGAGTGTCCTTTGGTTACTTACGCCCATTCGTGATCTGTCTGAATTCTCACTGGTGGCTTTTGCATTGAAATAGTGATTTCGCCAAGAAATGCGGTACTGTTAATAGGGGCGTGTTCTAGATGCATGGCAAAATGAATAGTGTTGGCGGGAATGCAACACGGAAGTATAACTGAGATAACTCATGGGCATACCACCGAAACGTATGACAGGAATGGTCAAGGACAGCGTGCTCGATCATAGATTAAATGCGTGTTTTGGGGCTGTTAGTAGGCCCGTCAAATGTTCCTAGTTATAAATGGTTATTGCGAGCGCCGGACGATGTGCTCACACAACAGGACGAGGAATCGCTGGCCGAGATCTTCCATAAGGTGAATGGGGCACAGGTGTGAGTTCTGGACTCTGGAGGGACCTTTGACGGCAAACACCGTCGTGTTAACTCAGTGAGTGTTGTATGGGCGCTTATGAGTATGTCGATGATCACGCCATCCGCTGTAGGCGTGTCGCATGCTATGGTTCACACTATGATCAAAGCACATCTGCTTCAGCCGTACGTTCAAGTCTGCTTCTACTAAATCAAACATTAACCATCACCCTAGTAGCACAAATGAACTCTTAAGAGTTCAAGCTCGATGGCTCAACTGTTTTATATCGACAATGGAGTGGTCACGGTGGGAGGCTAGTAGTACTAGTGCTTTCTGTCGTGCCTCGCATATTGTTGGATGCCTTTACCTGAGCTCGCTGGCATGGGCCCGTGCTTGAAGCAAACAGATGGTAAAACACGTCTGTGATATTTTTGAAGCCATAGTTATATGTAATTGAAGGGCACTGGGCCGGGTGGATTCATCATGTCACCCTCGTGTTTTTTACACGAGATTTTGACCCGATGCGCAGTTGCAGTGCGGTTTCAGGCTGCAACACCCCAGCGCCATATAATTTTCGAACAGGGCCACAACCTCACCATGGCCTTCTAGCTGGCCGTTAAATTCCTGGGATCGCTGATCACTCAATACCATTTCCCTCGCACTGGAAAGTCTTGGGTGTCCTAGTACCGCAGTGTCAGCTCGCTAAGTGGGTATTCATTCTGATTTCACTCGATTTTGCACTCAATTGGAGACCTTTCACAGCGAGATGGGGCAGTGGTCATCTTCCCTTGTTATTCTAGTGTATCGAGCTGCGTTGCAGCTTGGTCCTACAAACCACTCTCTTCGACCCCTCTTTATCAACAACCTTGCAATCAGCCTTCAAGACAGATTCCGGCAGCGGGGCATCATGTCTGACCTTGATGAGGCCATCGAGCTCCATCGTGCCGCATTGCTCCTCCGTCCCCCCGGTCATTCAGATCGATTCATATCTCTGAAAAATCTTGCACTCAGCCTTCAAGACAGATTCCGGCAGCGGGGCATTATGTCCGACCTCGATGAGGCCATCGAGCTCAATCGTGAGGCGTTGCTCCTCCGTCCGCCCGGTCATTCAGATCGATCCATATCTCTGAACAATCTTGCACTCAGCCTTCAAGACAGATTCCAGCAGCGGGGCATTATGTCCGACCTTGATGAGGCCATCGAGCTCAATCGTGCCGAATTACTCCTCCGTCCGCCCGGTCATTCAGAACGATCCATGTCTCTGAACAATCTTGCTGCTGGCCTTGCAACCAGATTCCGGCAGCGGGGCATCATGTCTGACCTTGACGAGGCCATCGAGCTCAACCGTGCCGCATTGCTCCTCCGTCCCCCCGGTCATTCAGATCGATCCATGTCTCTGAACAATCTTGCACTCAGCCTTCAAGACAGATTCCGGCAGCGGGGCATCATGTCCGACCTCGATGAGGCCATCGAGCTCCATCGTGCCGCATTGCTCCTCCGTCCGCCCGGTCATTCAGATCGATCCATGTCTCTGTACAATCTTGCTGCTGGCCTTGCAACCAGATTCCGGCAGCGGGGCATCATGTCTGACCTTGACGAGGCCATCGAGCTCAACCGTGCCGCATTGCTCCTCCGTCCCCCCGGTCATTCAGATCGATCCATGTCTCTGAACAATCTTGCACTCAGCCTTCAAGACAGATTCCGGCAGCGGGGCATCATGTCCGACCTCGATGAGGCCATCGAGCTCCATCGTGCCGCATTGCTCCTCCGTCCGCCCGGTCATTCAGATCGATCCATGTCTCTGTACAATCTTGCTGCTGGCCTTGCAACCAGATTCCGGCAGCGGGGCATCATGTCTGACCTTGACGAGGCCATCGAGCTCAACCGTGCCGCATTGCTCCTCCGTCCCCCCGGTCATTCAGATCGATCCATGTCTCTGAACAATCTTGCACTCAGCCTTCAAGACAGATTCCGGCAGCGGGGCATCATGTCCGACCTCGATGAGGCCATCGAGCTCCATCGTGCCGCATTGCTCCTCCGTCCGCCCGGTCATTCAGATCGATCCATGTCTCTGTACAATCTTGCTGCTGGCCTTGCAACCAGATTCCAGCAGCGGGGCATCATGTCTGACCTTGATGAGGCCATCGAGCTCAATCGTGCCGAATTACTCCTCCGTCCGCCCGGTCATTCAGAACGATCCATGTCTCTGAACAATCTTGCTGTTGGCCTTGCAACCAGATTCCAGCAGCGGGGCATCATGTCTGACCTTGACGAGGCCATCGAGCTCCATCGTGCCGCATTGCTCCTCCGTCCCCCAGGTCATTCAGATCGATCCATGTCTCTGTACAATCTTGCACTCAGCCTTAAAGACAGATTCCAGCAGCGGGGCATTATGTCCGACCTCGATGAGGCCATCGAGCTCAATCGTGAGGCGTTGCTCCTCCGTCCGCCCGGTCATTCAGATCGATCCATATCTCTGAACAATCTTGCACTCAGCCTTCAAGACAGATTCCGGCAGCGGGGCATTATGTCCGACCTCGATGAGGCCATCGAGCTCAATCGTGAGGCGTTGCTCCTCCGTCCGCCCGGTCATTCAGATCGATCCATATCTCTGAACAATCTTGCACTCAGCCTTCAAGACAGATTCCAGCAGCGGGGCATTATGTCCGACCTTGATGAGGTCATCGAGCTCCATCATGCCGCATTGCTCCTCCGTCCGCCCGGTCATTCAGAACGATCCATGTCTCTGAACAATCTTGCTGCTGGCCTTGCAACCAGATTCCAGCAACGGGGCATCATGTCCGACCTTGATGAGGCCATCGAGCTCCATCATGCCACATTGCTCCTCCGTCCCCCCGGTCATTCAGATCGATCCATGTCTCTGAACAATCTTGCACTCAGCCTTCAAAACAGATTCCGGCAGCGGGGCATCATGTCCGACCTTGATGAGGCCATCGAGCTCCATCGTGCCGCATTGCTCCTCTTTCCCCCCGGTCATTCAGAACGATCCATGTCTCTGAACAATCTTGCACTCAGTCTTCAAGACAGATTCCGGCAGCGGGGCATCATGTCTGACCTTGATGAGGCCATCGAGCTCCATCGTGCTGCATTGCTCCTCCGTCCCCTTGGTCATTCAGAACGATCATCGTCTCTGAACAACCTTGCACTCAGCCTTCAACACAGATTCCGGCAACAGGGCGTTCAGTCTGACTATGATGAAGCATTTAACTTGTACTCTCAACTCTCCCACCTGTCCCATGCAGCATCTCGCACACATCTTATTGCTGCCAAGTCATGGGCGGCCTCCGCCTACCTCCTTAATCACTCGTCTGTATTGCTTGCTTATCAGGTTGCCCTCAAATTCTTAGACCAGCAAGTCGCTCTCCTGTCGTCTTCTTCTCGTCACTTCGGCGTCATCAGGGACGCTGTTTCCTCCCTCGCCACAGACGCTTTCTCGTGCAGTGCTCGTCGTGATGCGCTGACCACTGCGGTGGAACTGGTGGAGCAAGGTCGTGCAGTATTCTGGACCCAGTTGGCACGCTTCAGCACACCACTCGATGAACTTTCTGCTTCAGGTGACATTGGCACGACCTTGGCAGAAGAGTTCAAACGCTTGAGTTTTTGCCTTCGTAATGCGTTCGATCAATCTACTCAAGACCAGTCCCCGCAAATTCGACAACTGACCATGCAATGGGATGATGTCGTCACACGCATTCGCATGCTCCCTGACTTCTCACGGTTTCTCCTGCCTCCACTATTTTCTGATCTCCAGAAGGCGGCTGAAGATGGTCCAGTGATCATTGTCAATGCTAGTCAGTACGGCTGCGACGCCTTGATTATCCACACCGCAGAAGATCCTGTCCATGTTCCGCTTGACATCACACAAACGGAAGTGTCTGAATTATCCTCTGAGTTCCAATCCCTCGCAGAACAGTTTGGTTCTTCTGATCATCAACTCAAGCTGGTCGGCATCCTTCGCAAGCTTTGGAATGATGTCGTTGACCCTGTTGTCCAAGCTCTCAGAGAGTCAAATGTTTGCCCCAGTGGTTCGCGTATATGGTGGTGTCCCACTGCGGAGTTCACGTTGCTTCCCCTCCATGCAGCAGGACCATACGAGCCAAAGAAAAAAAATCTGTCTGACATCTACATCTCATCTTACACCCCCACTTTGACGACTCTCATTCGTGCCAGAAAGCAGCCTGTGGGCTCTCGAGATGCATCCTCGCAACATTTTGTTGCCATCGGTCAAGGCAACCCAGTGAACGGGAGGGAGCTCAAATGCGTCGCTCCCGAGCTGGCCGCTGTCGCTCAGCATGTTACTCCCATCGTCTCCTTCACATCTCTCGAGGATGCCAACGCGACAGTCGAGAATGCACTCGGTGCACTCGATCATAATCAGTGGCTCCATCTTGCCTGCCATGGAATGCCGAATCGGAAACAACCGTTCGAGTCTTCCTTCGCCATGCGCGACGGGCCTTTAATGATCAAGGACATCATCCGATCCAACTGGCAGAATCCGCAGTTCGCATTCTTATCCGCCTGTCACACTACGGTTGGCGACGAGAAGAGTCCCGATGAGTCGATTCACCTTGCTGCGGCTATGCAATTCTGCGGATTTCGCAGTGTAATCGGTTCTATGTGGTCTGTTGACGACGAGGTTGCACGCGAGGTCGTGTCCGCTTTTTACAGCAACCTCATTGATGATTCAAAAAGATTGGACTGCACACGCGCTGCGGTAGCGCTGCACAAGGCCGTGAAATCGTTGCGCAAGAAGAAGGTTCCATTAGAGCAGCAGATTGTATTTGTTCACATAGGTGTGTAGTCAGACTCGATTCATTATGTTATTCCATTTGCTGTATCTCTAGTTTTTTTTGTTCCCTCGCTCTCATCTTGTTTACTTATTTCTGCATGATACGTATATAGTTTGTTGTTCTGTCAAGTACTGTACTTGTGTCTCACCGTGTCCCGTTGAATCAATGTGATTTACTACAGTTCTAGTAAGTTGGTCAGCGTAGCCATAGCATATCCGTGAACCACCCTGCCCCATGGTGTATGTGTCTGCTCATTTATTCGGCACTGATCATCACTTATAGACGCCATCACGATGTATGGTGCCAAATCTTCTAAGATAAACATCAAATATCAGAATACTGTACAGAACACGAGCATGATCGACTATAATCATATACATAGCTCAAGCATGGATACAGCAGAGCATCGAACAAAGCCCCGAGTGAAAGAATATTACTTCGAACGAGAGTACTGACAGACTGTGCCTCACTGGTTGTTCTCTGACGTTCTAGCAACCACAGATGGGTTACGAACGACAAACGCTATGGGACGTTCCCGCCAGATCGTAACAATCGTGTCTCCGTCCCTTTGGACCGCCTTGCTATCGTTGGAGTCGATGTATGCGCATTCTCCATAGGCATCCCAAGTCACAGTATCGATGTCTGCAGATTGATACACATGCCCAGCACTAAGCTAACGACTCGAGGTAGGTCAACTGTAGCCGCTCACCAAGCCAAAGTTCAATGACGAACGAAACCTTGAGGACGGCGACAATGTCCGAGTAAGAAAAAGCTGATGGACTAATAGGAAGAGAGGGTCAGAGAGGATAAGAGAACTGTGGACATGGTGGAGTCGTCAAATAATGTGGGTGTCATTTCAGGGAACAGTGTTTATGTTCGAATGATCTTTGACAGAATTACTTAGTGGGGCCGTTTGAATGATATTAATAAGAAAACATACCATCAAGGGATCTTTGACGACATGGCTGTCCTTAAGCTTCAGGCCTCAGGACCGTAAGGCAATTAAGTTCTCAATTGGCACATCAACGATCGGACTGAACCGGGTGGCTGTGCTTCTCTTACTTCAACTAGACTCGCTTCTCAGGAAAAGATTCAACGAAGTGCACTGATTTTGCCTTTGTGGGCTAACTTGGCTATGAAGTAGATGATGATACCGTGACAAGTCCAGCAGTAGACACTCTGAGACTCGTGTGTCCTCTTGGCGGTCCACTTTTGCTGAAGACCGATCGTCTACTTATATCTAGCACAGATTTTTCTGCTGTTATCAATCCTGGTTAGTTATTTTGATTCGTGCATCGTACTAGCGTTTATCGTGTCGACTCTAAATTTATATGAAAATCTAGGTGTGCCGTCGCATGGCCTGAATCCTCGACCTCCTTTCCAGCCTTACTCCATCCACATTTCCTACGTCCTTACCCCAATATTCCCCTCCCGCTCATTCCGTCCACCATTCAGCACATCGCCATGACTCAGCCCATCCTCGATCCTCCATCGCACTATCGTGTTTGGTAGTTCAGAAAACCTATATATCAGACTTGAAGGTAAGTCCCTCCTCATTACCTTACCATCTGTTTCGTCATTTCCACACTCTATCTACAGCCATCAACCGAAAGGATATTCAAGTCCCCTCCTGGCACACTTACGTGTCCATCAGTGTCGACTCGAGGAGATGCTACAATTCGGTTATAAACGTCTTATCATCTTATACCGTGGGGATGCTGTGACTCTGTAAAGTCCATGGAGACTTTGTCGCGCGATGCAAGAACTGATCATGGTTTTATAGATTACCACAGGCGTCAACTGCATTGTCAGTGCAAAACAACGCATCCTGTGAGGTCGATCGAATGCTAGGCAGTGGAGAGGTCTTTAGGAAACTTCAAACGTCATGAGGCGAGCTGCTCGATTATGGTGATGAGCCATTCGGTGAGTAACCTTCTTCTTATTTATATACATCTATTAACATCTCGAAGGATTATCCTTCCCACCTGTGCGTGGTGTCCATCCTTCCTCCATACTGAAGGCCGTTGCTTTACACCCTTGCGACCATCAGGATGATGCACTGTCTGATTCGAATGACGCTACTCTCTCTTTTGCTGACAAAACTCCAGCTCTCGTCCCTCGTAGACCGCAAGACACGGATGCAGGCCGCGTACGATTTGTCAAATACGTGACGAGCAAAATGGAACCCGCCATTCGACACTGAACATTCATATGATTGTTCATGTGAGTTGACGGAAACAGCTGAGATACACTTGGTTAATGAACACCTTTCGCAGCGCAGTCGGTATCGCAGCCCCGAGATCGCTGGTTCCTTACCATCACGCGTGACCCATCTTCCTCGGTGCTCACACTAAATGTCAAAGCGACGACTCACTTCTTTATCTGTTTGGAGTCGACCCTCGATCAATCAGGTTTCCTCTGTGGAGAAGTGAATGGCATCTATGTTGGTTAGGATGATTCGATCAGCATGACGATCTGCAGATCCCATTGACGGAACCGTTGTCCAGCCACAGGTATCGCAACAGAATGCGTAGTGGCAGAATTGTTGTCTGCGTGAGAGCCCTACTCGCATTCTACAGTTACCATCACCGTTGACTAGAGATTGTGCCATGTAAGAGAACTCCACGCGAGAGATTCATAAACTTTCATTCATTGAGCGATCATTCCATGATGTACAGTCTTTCCTTGTAATCTATATTTATGAATAACACTTAGGATCTTGTGAACAGCACCGAAATAGCAGTGTACAAAACAGCAGTCAAAACGCGAAAACATGCAGATCCTTCATATCGCCATCAGCAAACGAGAGGTTCTTCGAAGATAAGACAATAAGCATGGCATCACATATTCTGTGCGCCGCTTGTCCTTCTTACACTGGAATAATCTTCTTGCAGTGAACCAGACATTCCGCAGGATGCGGCAACCTCTTCAAAGGTCATCATGACTTTAACCACTTCCATGCAGACTTCGAGTATAGGTCGGCTGTGAACAGTATACCTTTCAATGACGTGCCTGTGTTTCATAGCAGGACTCCCATGACAACCCGTGAACAGTATGAGTGGGAATGACCCAACGCAAACCTAGGAAGGTACAACGCCGAACAAGGCTATTCAACAGTGCGTATCTCGAGAATTTTGGTGACCGCTATTATCTCATTCGGGGTTTTCAAGTGTACGTATTCCAATGGTGGTGTTGCCTCAGAGTTTGTGCAAAAGCTGCAAGCGTTGAACTCTACTGTGAGTCGGTGGGACCCAAAACAGAAGCGTGTCCTTCGATGCGTTCGTCATCTGTCCGAATTCTCACTGGTGGCTTTTGCGTTGGAGCAGTTATTTCGTCAAGAAGTGCGGCAGTGTTAACAAGGGCGTGTTCCAGATGCATGACAAAACGATTAGTGTTGGCAAGAATGAACACGGAAGTAAAACCGTCGGTGTCCTCTGTTGATCCCTCCCACCAGGGATGTTCAAAGATGCGCTGTATCAAGTCAAGGGCGTGCCACCAAAACGTATGTCATTAATGGTCAAGGACAACATGTTCAAGGCACGTTGTTTGATCGTTGCAGAGGTGTTGTGAAGTAATAAAATGATTTGGGTAAGAAACAGGTGGCCAGTAGGTTTGGGGAGGCGTAGATTAAAAGCGTGTTTTGGGGCTGTCGATGTTCCTAGTCATGGTTATTGGCGGTGCAGGCGAGCTCCGGACGACAAGGATCATATGCTCACACAACAGGATGAGGAATCTTCCATAAGGTGAATGGATGCTTCACGACATTTTTTGCACTAGTAAACAAATAGCAAGATGATGTGATCAATGGTATCAGAGCCCATGTTCGAGTTCAAGAGATCGGACCAATTAGTTGTCAATATTGAGATGAAGAAAAATACGTATGATGAGCCGAGAACCGAGCAGAAGGAACTTTTGGAGCAGGTGAAAAGTGTTGGAGTATGGTGTAATATCCTTGAGCGCGAGGAAGACTATGTCTAGAGATCTGCTGAGTATACATGCAGACCGAATACTAGATAGAAGATAGTCGTTCCTTCTAATTTCGATGTCATTGTGCGCACATGTAGTTTTATCAAATTCTCTCGTCCTCCATGAGGCAACCAGAGAGTGGCACAGGTACGAGTTTTGCAGAGGCCTTGCACAGCAAAGGTCGCCGTGTTGAATGTTCGGGAAAGTGTATTATGGGCGCTTGTGAGCAGGTGGATGATCATGTCATCCGCTGTAGGCGTGTCAGACCTGTTGTTCACACGATCGAACTTCATACAGCCTCATGGTAACCGTACGTTCAAGTGTTCTTCTACTAGATCATTAATGACCATCACCCTAGTAGCACAAATGGACTCTGAGAGTCCAAGCTCCATTGCACAACTGTTTTATGGCGCCAATAGACTAGTACAAGTGCTTTCTATCATGCCTCGCATAGTATGTTTGGATACCTTTAGCTGAGCTCGCTGACAAGGGCTCGTGCTTGAAGTAAACGGACGGTAAAACTTCCACGCTTGTGACATTTTTGAACTCACAGTTATATGTAATTGAAGGCCAGGGATCTCATCATGTCTCCCTCGTGTGTGTTGGATGAGATTTCGACCCAATGTGCAGCTGCCTAGTGCGGTGTCACGCTTCAAGCTTCAATACCCAAGCCTGATGGAATTCTCGAACAACGCTTCAACCTCACCATAGCTTTCTAGCTGGCCGTTAAATTCATGGGATCGCTGAGCCCTCATCATATCATTTCCCTCGTACTGGCAGGTCTTTGGTGCGCGAGTACTGCAGTTTCAGCTGGCTAAGTAGGTATTCATTCTGATTTTACTCCATTTTGCGTTCAATTGGAGACTTTTCACAGGGAGATGGGGCAGTGGTCATCTTCTTTTGTTAGCCTAGCATGTCGAGTGGCGTTGCAGCTTGGTCCTCCAGGCCACTCTCTTCGAACCTTCTTTATCAACAAACTAGCCCTCAACCTTCATGACAGATTCCAGCAGCGGGGCATCATGTCCGACCTTGATGAGGCCATCGAGCTCCATCGGGCTGTATTACTACTCCGTCCGCTCGACCATTCAGAACGATCCTCGTCTCTGAACAATCTTGCGAACAGCCTTCAAGACAGATTCCTGCAGCGGGGCATCGTGTCTGACCTTGATGAGGCCATCGAGCTCCATCGGGCTGCATTATCCCTCCGTCCCCCCGGTCATTCAGATCGATACGTATCTCTGAACAATCTTGCAAACCGCCTTCGAGACAGATTCCTGCAGCGGGGCATCATGTCTGATCTTGATGAGGCCATCGAGCTCCATCGGGCTGCATTACTCCTCTGTCCCTCCAGTCATTCAGATCGACCCGTGTCTCTGAACCATCTTGCACTCAGCCTTCAAGACAGATTCCGGCAGCGGGGCATCATGTCCGATCTTGATGAGGCCATCGAGCTCCATCGGGCTGCATTACTCCTGCTTCCCTCCGGCCATTCAACTCGATCCGTATCTCTGAACCATCTTGCACTCAGCCTTCAAGATAGATTCCGGCATCGGGGCATCATGTCTGACCTTGATGAGGCTATCGAGCTGAATCGTGCTGCATTACTCCTGCTTCCCCCCGGTCATTCAGCACGATCCTCGTCTCTGAACCATCTTGCACTCAGCCTTCAAGATAGATTCCGGCAACGGGGCGTGCAGTCTGACTATGATGAAGCATTTAGCTCATACTCTCAACTCTCCCACCTATCACATCCAGCATCTCGCACAGATCTCAGTGCTGCCAAGTCATGGGCGGCCTCCGCCTACGTCCTTGATCACCCATCTGTATTGCTTGCTTATCAGGTTGCACTCAAATTCTTAGACCAGCGAGTTGCATTCCTGTCGTCTTCTTGCCGTCACTTCGACGTCATCAGTGAGGCTGTTTCTTCCCTCGCCACCGATGCTTTTTCGTGCAGTGTTCGTCGTGATGAGCTGACGACTGCGGTGGAACTGTTGGAGCAAGGTCGTTCTGTATTCTGGACACGGTTGGCCCGCTTCAGGACACCACTCGATGAACTTTCTGGTTCAGGCGACATTGGAACGGCCTTGGCAGAAGAGTTCAAACGGTCGAGTTTTTGCCTTCGTTCCGCGTTCCACCAGTATACTGAAGACCGGTCTCTGAGAATCCAACAACTGACCATGCAATGGGATGATGTTATCACGCGCATTCGCATGCTCCCCGACTTTTCACGTTTTCTTCTACCTCCACTGTTTTCTGATCTCCAAAAAGCGGCTGAACATGGACCAGTTATCATTGTTAATGCAAGTCAATATGGCTGCGATGCCTTGATTGTCCGTAACGCGGAAGATCCTGTTCATGTTCCGCTTGACATTACACAAGCCGAAGTGTTCGAATTCTCCTCCGACTTCCACGCACTCTCAGAGCGGTTTGGTTCTTCTGATAATCAACTCAAGCTTGTCGGCATGCTTCGCAAGCTTTGGAATGATGTCGTTGACCCTGTTGTTCAAGTTCTCAGGGAGTCAAATGTTTGCCCTGGTTCGCGTATATGGTGGTGTCCCACGGCTGAGTTCACGCTGCTTCCCCTCCATGCGGCAGGACCATACGAGAGGAAGAAAAAAAATATGTCTGACATCTACATCTCATCTTACACCCCCACTTTGACGACTCTTATTCGTGCTAGACAACAGATTTCTCGAGATGCGTCGTCGCAACATTTTGTTGCCATCGGTCAAGGCAACCCGGTGAACGGAAGGGAGCTCAAATGTGTCGCTCCCGAGCTAGCCGCCGTCGCTGAGCATGTTACTCCTGTCGTCTCCTTCACATCCCTCGAGGATGCCAGCGCGACAGTCGAGAATGCACTCGATGCGCTCGATCATAATCAGTGGCTTCATCTTGCCTGCCATGGAATGCCGAATCAGAGAGAACCGTTCGACTCTTCCTTCGCCATGCGTGACGGGCCTTTAATGATCAAGGACATCATCCGATCCAACTGGCAGAACTCCCAGTTTGCATTTTTATCGGCCTGCCACACTACGGTTGGCGACGAGAAGAGCCCCGATGAGTCGATCCATCTTGCTGCTGCTATGCAATTCTGCGGATTTCGCAGTGTGATCGGTTCCATGTGGTCTGTTGAGGATGAGGTTGCACGCCAGATCGTGTCTGCTTTTTACGGCAACCTCATTGATGATTCAAAAAGATTGGACTGCACACGCGCTGCGGTAGCGCTGCACAAGGCCGTGAAATCATTGCGCAAGAAGATTCCATTAGAGCAGCAGATTGTATTTGTCCACATAGGTGTGTAGTTAGACTCGATTCATTATGTTATTCCATTTGCTGTATCTCTAGTTGGTTTTGTTCCCTCGCTCTAGTATTGCTTACTTATTTCTGCATGATACGCATATACCTTGTTGTTCTGTTCTGTACTAGTGTCACATCGGGTCCCGTTGAATTATTCCCGCATCGTCACAGTTCTAAATCATTAACTGCAGCCGTAGCCTATGATTCAGCAAGTAGTGTTACGGTTTACCCGTGAACTACCCTCATGCAGCTCCCATGGCTGCTCATTTATTCGGCACTGATCGTGACTTATAAACGCCATCACGGTGTATCACGCCGAATCCTCTGGGATAACATCAAATATCAGAATTTTAAAGAAAACTGTACAAGAATATGAGCAAGATCGACTATAATGATATACATTGGTCAAGCATGTATACAGCAGCGCACTGAACAAAGTCATGAGTGAGAGAATATTACTCCAAGAACGAGAGTACTCACAGGCTAAGCCTTACGGGTTGTCCTCCGACGTTTTAGTAGTCACTGGCGGGTTACGAACGACGAAAGCTATGGGACGTTCCCGCCACATCGTGACAAAAATCGCATCTCCGTCCCTTTGGACCGCCTTGCTATCGTTTGGGTCGATGTATGCGCATTCGCCATAGGCATCCCAAATCGAAGTATCTCTCCAGAGTTATAGATATACCCAGCACTAAGATAACATTAGCTAACGACTCGAGGTAGGTCAACTGTAGCTCACCAAGCCAAAGTTCAATATTCAATGACGAACGAAACCTAAGTAAGATTAAGTAACATGCCGCACTTTTCCTGATCATTGATTTAGTATTACATTTGCTGTATCTCTAGTTGTTTTTGTTCCCTCGCTCTCCTGTCGCTTACTTATCTCCGCATGATACTTTGTTGTTCTGTATACTGTACTAGTGTCACAACGCGTCCTGTCGAATCAATGTGATTTACTCCTGCATCGTCACACTTATCAGTCGTTAAACGTGGCCGTAGCATATGATTCGGCGAGCGGTGTTACCCGTGAACTATTAGTACCCTTGCCACCCCCATGGCGTATGTGTCTGCTCATTGATTCGGTACTGATCGTGACTCATAGACGTCATCGCGCTGTATCACGGTCAATCCTCTGGGATATGACGATCGGCAGGTCCTATTGACGGAACCGTCGTCCAGCCACAGGCACCGCAACGTAGTGCGTAGTGCCAGAATTGTTGCTTGCGGGAGAGTCCCACTCGCGTTCTACAGTTGTTGACCAGACATTCGATTTCATACCATGTAAGGGAACTCCATTGTGCGAGAGATTCATAAGATTTCATTTATCGAGCGATCATTCCATACTTGTACAGTCTTTCCTGGTAATCTATATTTATGAATAACATTTATCTTGTGAGCAGCAACAGAACAGCAGTGTACAACGTTCAACAACACTCAAAACGCGAAAACATGCAGATCCTTCATATCGCCATCAGCAAACGAGGGGCTCTGAAAAACAAGACAATCAGCACGAGGCTACATACTCCTCAGTACAACGATAGCTTACTTTCAAACCGACCAATCTTTGCTCATCGATCATCACCCCCGAAAACCCTTCAAGCTCATCTCTTCGACAAACGCGATAGGGTAAATTTGTCTCAATAGAGCCCGGGAAAAGGCCGTCCGACCAGATGAACGTGGGGTAATCAATGACCTCAACGTTCGCTTTGGAGTCCGGCTGCGGAGGAAAGACATGCCGTTTCGTTTTGCGTACATTGAAGTCCATCACTTGCGTGCTGCTGGATTGTAGCGGAAAGACCACTCGATGGCCATGAACGTATCTGCTCAAGGCTGATCAGCGTGGGTCTGGGCAGGAATCTTTCGACTCTTTCTTACCTTAGCCACTGATATGGGACTTGATGATGAAGCATGCGGCTCTCGTGGGGACCCCACTCCTCCCAAGACACCTCGAAGGGGGTTGTTTCTCTTTGTTCGCGATATTTCCGTATATATCTGAGAGGAGTGCTATTCTTGAAGAAGAGAAAGAATTTGGGTCTAGCGCGAGGGATATGCGGGTCCATCTGGATATAATCCACGGATAGAACATACATCCGCTCCTCCTGATTGGTCCAGAAAGGCGTGTTTGGAAGACACCTTGCCACAAACGGACCAGTATGAATCGCGCAGTGCACGAAATGGCGGGACTTCAGGACAGGCAGCGATAGGCTCGCAACATGGACAATTTCATGTTGATGTTCTCCAAATGTGAAAACTTGTATCGAACCCCCGTCTATCCCCCGCGTGATCATGTATGCGCGGTTCGAAATGAACGAAAAGTCGCTGATATGAGTGGGCAAGTCGTCGCCGTCGCGATCCTGCAAATCCAGCGTTGGCTATAAGCTACTGGGTGTTCATAGACAGGCACTTACGACGAGTATTTGACCTGTCTTCCAATTCCAGATTGTGATACGAGGATTGTCGAGCTCCATCCAAAACATCATCCCAATCACATCATCCACGATTTGTATGAATGCGCTGGTCATTATGGACGGGGTGAGGGTGCGAAGAATAGGAGATGATGCTTCGGGATGCTTGACATTGGAGGAGATAGTGCGTATATGGACCGCTGTGTAATTAGAATTGTTCACGCTACATGTAACAATCAGTCATCTGTGCGACGAAAAGCGAAAGACACCAAAGACGCACAGGTCGTCATCAGATTGGACAAAAGCGATGAGATCTTGCGATGGATCGATGGCGAAGTCTCTCGTTGAGATGCCTATGTCATTCCGAACCAGCGTGTGTCCAGGAGCTGACGAGGATGGTAGCCAGGAGGAAATGAATCTTCGTGAACCGGATTGGTTGTGATCAATGCTCCCCGAAGAGAACGTCTTCGCAAATACACCCCCCACAAGCTCGTATGCGTGGCAGAAACCAGGCATGGGTACTCGAACTTCTTTCTTCCACTCGAACAAGGTCCACGCACGACGGAGGGTCCGCAGTTGTTCCAGACGCTCTGAGACAGTGACGGTGCTCGGAGGGCCATCAACCATGCAATCAAGAGCAAGCTCAATATGATACTGAAGCTCTGCAGAGGAATCAATCACCCTGTTCAATGTGCGGCAGACCTGAAAATTAGTCAAGTTTGAGTCCACGAGAAAAAAGTAGTATGGCACACGTACAGAGGAACACTGCAAGATAGATCGACCGTCTACATGACGAAGAATTTCTACCAGTAACTCAGAGGGTAGAAGGATCAAAGTAAGTGTTTCGGGATCTTTCACGTCTGCTTTTACAGCGGGCAGGCTGGCCACCAGTGTAGTCTGCCTTGTATCAAGCTTTGGTGCAATCATAGTAGCTGTTGTAGGCGCTTGGTGGGTGCTAATCGGCTGCAATTGGACTTTGATTAGCTTTGATTGGACTTGTGGCGCACGGGCTTTTCAATTCGTAAGGAACGATCTTCGTTCTTATTGGTCAGACCAACTACGATCGAACGTATCCAACGGTTGCGATTGTGAGTAACGACCTCGCACGAAACAAATAAGCATTGGTTCTGGGAAAACTGCAACTCATAACTTTGAGCCTCTAGATTCAGTAGCCGCAGTTGTCCTCAGAAGAACTCTCTCTCGATGGCTCATTCCCTCAAGCTTGATGGGGTTGCGCAGCTCAAGGTCATGGTAGTTGCCGATTGGATGTTTTGGCAGCATCTACAAATGTGATTTTACTATCTGCATGAGATATGCGACTCTAGTGAGTACTCAGCGCCCTCTGAGAACCCTGTCGCTCCGAGTCTACTAACGAAATTTAGCCGATACCATCGCACACTCAGATAAGCTTATTTATACTGACGGCCAAAACTCCATGCCACATCGTGAAGTCTGGATGTATTGTTGACGCTACGCTACAGCACTCGGACTCGGCAACGAGGAAGAGCTGACTTGCTCAAGCACTGCGGAGTTGAGCAACGCTCATTCGTAAACGAAGTCATTTCCGGAGTCGACCACCATACTGCCCTTGCGACATCGACACGGCACATAGGATGTGATTTTGTCACTGGGTTCACAAAAGTACCCGAAATCGTTTTCGTAGCTGTGACCTCTGAGGCCCGTCGAGCACTCCGTTTGATCTGTGGATAGCCGTAAGCATGCGGTCTAAGGTCCGCCAGCCCCATGGCATTGTTGTCTTCAAGAGTACACCCAATTTTCACAATTGCAGTGATGTGGCAAACACACCCACCGGTCACCTAAATCTCAAGATGACTGAGTAAATTGTGGGAGCACATGATCAAACGTTGCTACGACTTATGGAACACGATGCGAACTTCACTTACGCCTGTTCCTTGGTGTACTATTGCAGAATCCGAATATCAATTCAGCAATGTAGGCTAGAACGTCAAATTTCGCTCCCTGAGCAATGAAGACGACAGGTGCGGGATGACAGAGCCAATGAGAGGAGAAAAAGAACGAAGGCAGCTATCGTTGATCCTACTTGTAGAAGCAGTCGGAGGCGCCGAGGGTGAGGACGAAGTAATCTACGGTGGTATGGCTTTTTCTCGTACAGCTGAAATTTAACACTTGCCCGATTAACCAATCTTCGGGTCGAGTGGTCCAAAGCTCGCACCAGGAAGGAAGAGATCGAGTTGCTGCAAGAAGAAATGCGTCGAGTTCTTCAATATCGATATTTCCGGTGGGATGATATGGCCTATCTCTGCGTTCCCAGAGGTGCTGAAAAGGAAGTCGTGGTTGCCTATACCGGCGCCATTCGATAAGCTCATAACGTTGGTGCCAAGTCAACTGAATATAAGATGTCGCATAAGGTATACTCCTTTTTCTCTGATTTCCACATCATCCCCTGGAGCTACGTGATTTAGAAGGATATAAATTGTTCCCTAAAACACCCGTTGTATACCTGGAACTTGAAAGTTTCAAAGTAGTTCTATAGGTTGATACAGAATTGTGATCGGTCAGTTGTTCGAGCTTTAAAACTGTTTCGTGTTGAAGATAATCACGGTGATCCTCCAAAGAACAGATGAGTGGTGTACCTTCACAATGTTTCGCCATTTAGCAGCGCTTATTAATCATCAACAATACACCAGTAAGACCATCGTGAACTTTAAACCTCACTGCTAAACGGACCTAATATCGGAAGGAAACCAGTTGGATATACAATGAACCAAAGTACAACATGACGCACTAATATACATGGTGTTCGAATATGAGATCCCACAATGAGTCAGAGAGTGCCACAAACATGCTATCGTACAGATTAATCTGACAGGAATAGCGTTAAAAGGCCGTAGAAGCATCGACAAACTGGAATCAACATCATACAAGGGTATACAAAACCTGAAACGACGAATTTGTGCGAAAACATAAGTCATGTTGTCATGAAAGCAGGTGGTCTGTGGTGGAAGTGCTGCTGGGCTAACTGTGCGCGCCAACCTGCGAGATTGTTGATAGAATTCAAGAGTTCTCCACGACGAAGGGGCTCTGCAAGTATCTGTGAGATCCGGAGAATGCATGGGTAAATGAGGTACGTACTGGTGATGTGATCGTCCATACCTGCCTGCAGGCATCGCTCACGATCACCGATCACTGAAAACGTAAATGAGCAAGTGCCCTGAACCTTGAGAATTGTAACGTACTAGCATGAGCAGTGAGGGCGATGATAGGAGTCGGTAGCAGTCCTCTGTGCATCTCATACGCTCGGATAAGCTCAGTCGCCTCCATTCCTCCCATGAAAGGCATTGATATATCCATCTTGGGGAGATAATAATTCACCACTGTGAGCCGCCGAGTAGAAAAGTGACTCACTAAGATAATATCAAATGGCTTGTTCGCTTGTACTCGTGCCTTGAAAGCTTCGACAGCTAGACTTCCATTCTCTGTGATCTCGACTGTGTGGCCATACTTCTCCAGAATCTTGACTACTAGTGCCTGGCTAACCGTATTATCCTCGGCAAGTAGGATGTCAAAGACGATATCATTTGGTGCCGAGACGGGTGAAACAGCATTCGGCTCCAGGGCGGAAACGAGGGCAGAAGCTGTGACTATCAGCCCTATATCACCAGAGCACATAGTATGTTCTCGTACTACTCACGATTCAGACGTGGCATCGAAGGCGCCAATACTACGATGGGAATGGATCGCAGGTGTTCATATTCCCTGATGTTTTCGGTTTATAATCTCCAGCGTACTTGGGAAATGTGCGATGTGATCGTGAAGAAGAACTTCTCTTCGAGACCTCGCTCTCGACCCACATGTTGCCTTGCATGAGGCATTCGGAGATGGAAAGGCCCAGACCGGTTCCGCTATATTTCTGTACAACAATCAGCTAGGACCTTTGGGAGAAATTGCAACAACTTCTGTGTCGAGTTGGGCATGAACTTCCTTCCGGACTCGGTGTAATCGGCACCCCACAGAAGTTGGCACTTCACCAATGTCGATGGTGCCAAAGTGTTAGACTTTGTTTATCAGAAGGCAACGGTGGCGTATTACCCATGTGTACCGTTCGCCTCTTGAATTTGTATTTTGGATATCAGAGGGTACCGGTGGCGTACCCCATGATGTGTACCGTTTGCCTCTAGAGTCTAGACTGGCACAGAACAACTCATTCACCACGACTCAGCGTCCTTTTCAACACTTTCCAATTCATCGTGCTGCTTTAATACCGTCCATTCAATGGTCTAGCATCCCATTCAGCGGCAGATCCACCGTTGATCACACATGCCAACCTCCTTGCCGTCGGCCTTCAGCAGAATGGGATTTATCCCTACCTGGATGTCCACAAACTTGATAACAACATCAAAGCGCACAGCGTCAAATGCGAGATGGATATAAACGGGGCAACTAGTGGTATTCTTGTATGAGTCGTAAGTATGCTCTACTCCATATCCTCCATTCGTATCCCATGAGTGACCTTCCTGAATGTAGTAATGCACTAATACCTACGCCACGATACTAATCACCCGTTCTTCCCCTTGGCACACAACAAATTCATCTTATTAGAGTCTGCGACCAACGATGAGACATCGAAGACTCGCATGTTCAATCAATAAGAAAAGTTACACTCCAGAGGTGCTCGTAAGTGCGGTCATAACTAAGGTGGTTACAGCGAAACTTGTACTTATCCCGATTCCGTAAGTATGTCAAACATGAGTGTGTCCTCTATAACAAGACTCCCATGATAATCCGTGGGCCATTCGGCTGAGATCAAGCAAAGGGTTGAGCGCTGGGACAACCCATTGCGTCCCCGGAGGGCACCACAGGGGATCATAGTTTGGCGGGACCCAAAACAGAAGCCTGTCCCCCGGTCCAATCACAGCCCATCTGTCATGTTCCTCAATCCTCACTGGGAGTGCCGATATGTCTTGTGTCGGAGTGATGATTTCATCGATAAGCGCGGCGGTATCGACAAGAGCATGTCCCGGGTGCAGGGAGAAACATATGAGGTGTTCGAGGTCATTGTCTTGAATAGCTTGTGCATCGCGTGTATGGTTCTGAGATTCAGATATGATGTCGATTTTATCTGGCGAAACTGCAACGGAACTGACGCTGCGGACATCTTGGAGTGGCTTGGGCGTCTTGCCAGTCTCGACATCCCACAGCCGCATGGTGCTGTCATATGACAGCGACATGACGCGCTGGCCATCTGGCGAGAATGCAACAGAAATGACAGCGTTTGTATGTCCTTTGAGAGGCGACCGGAGCGGCTCGCCAGTCTCGGCATGCCACAAGCGAATGGTCATGTCGCGTGACCCCGATACGATGTGCCTGCCATTGGGTGAGAATGCCAAAGAGATAACAGCGTTTGTATGTCCCATGAGAGGTGGCCGGAGCAGCTCACCAGTCCCTGCATCCCACAAGCGAATGGTCTTGTCGAGTGACCCTGATACGATGTGCTTGCCATTTGGAGAGAATGCAACAGACAGGACCAGCCCCTCATGTCCCTCAAGGGGTGGCCACAGCGGCTCGCCACTCCCGACATCCCACAGCCGCATGGTTTTGTCATACGACAGCGATACGAAACGTCTGCTATCCGGCGAGAATACAACAGAGAAGACAGCGTTTCTATGTTCCTTGACAGGTGGCCGGAGCAGCTTGCCAGTCTCGATATCCCACAACCGAATGGACCCATCATCCGACCCCGATGCAATGTACCTGCCATTGGGCGAGAATGTGACAGAGTAGACAGTGTCCTCATGTGTCTCGAGTGGTGGCTGGATCAACTCGCCAGTCTCAGTATCCCACAACAGAATAGTGCCAAGGAGTGACCCCAACACGGCGCGCTTGCCATCCGGCGAGAGTGCAACAGAGGTTAAAAAGTAGTCAGGTCCCTTGAGAGGTAGCCGAAGACACTTGCCAGTTCCGGCATCCCACAAGCAAAAGGTGTCAAAACTTGACAGTGACATGATGCGCTTGCCATCCGGCGAGAATACAGCATAGCGGACGAGACCGTGTTGCACGAGAGGTGGTGGCTGCACTGGCTCGCCATTTGTGGTCTCCCAAAGGACGACGGTGTTGTCCCGTGACCCTGAAAGGATACGCTGGCTATCCGGTGAGAATGCAGCAGTGGTGACAGGAGGCTGGTGTCCCTGGAGAGGTGGCCGCAGTGGCTTGCCAGTTTCGGCATCCCATAGCTGAACGGTAAAGTTCTCTGACCCTGACACAATGTACCTGCCATTGGGAGAGAATGCAATAGATGTGACGACTTCATCTTGTCTCATGAGAAGTGGGCTCAGTGGATCGCCAGTTTCGGCATCCCACAAGTGAATGGTCTTGTTGCTTGACCCCAACACGATGTGCTTGCCATCCGGCGAGAATGCAACAGAATTGGCCTGACCAGGTCCCTTGATAGGTGGAAACAGTAGCTTTCCCATCTCCGCACTCCACAACTGGATGGTCTCGTCCAAAGACCCTGACACAATGTGTGTGCTGTCCGGCGAGATTGCAACAGAACGAATCGAATCCGTATAACCTATGAGAGGCAGCTGCAGAGGCTCGCCAGTCTCAACGTTCCATAACCGAATGGTCTTGTCGTGTGACCCCGACGCAATGAGCTTGCCATTCGGTGAGAACGCAACGGAGGTGACACCACCCTCATGTCCCTCGAGAGGTGGTTGCAGCGATTCGCCCGTCTCCGCATCCCACAAGCGAATGGTCTTATCCTCCGACCCCGACACGATGTACCTGCTATCCGGCGAGAATGCAACAGACGTGACATCATTCTGATGCCCTATGAGAGGAAGCCGAAGAAGCTCGCCAGTCTCAGCATCCCACACCTGTATGACACACCTGCGCAACCCGGCAACGATGCGTTTACCATCCGGAGAGAATGCGGCGCATAGAACAGGAGAATCTGCATGCATCACCTGCTGAATCATCGGCCATGACAAATGATGGCCAGAAACGATTCGCAATACTGAAGGAAATGTATTGACAAATTTTGTGAAGATACGCGACTCCTTTGGTGAAAACGGTAGTGCAGATAGATACAAGTGGGGGGTGCTGAAGGAAATGGGAAGGCGAATATGCAAATGAATTTCTGTGCATCTGCAGCATCGTCCAAGATATCTTTGCATTCTGCGGGGTGGGGCTGGTTCCCGTAAGAATAACTGTGTAGAAAATAAGGTTTCTGACACGAACCTTGACCCACTCGATCAAAGATGACAGCAAGCCAGCCGTCGTGTTGATGGTCTTGAGCAGACTCAGCACTTCCAACCAGAAGAGCAACCGTTCGTGGTTGAAAAATGCTCGAACCGCATTAGCGAGGTGCAAGTCGAAAACTGCTTTTTGCAGATGGTCTGTCCAGAACCGACAGGAATAGGACAACTCCGGGGTGATATTCTGTTGGACTCGTTCATGCAAGTCGGAGATTTTGGAATTAGGGAGTGTGAACTGTTCAGTTTGCATATGTTGAATCGTAAGCCATGTTCCATGACTGCAAGGGACGCAAATGCAAGATCCTTCTGAACGCGAGACGTGTCGACGAAGAACTCCCCACTCCGCTTTTTATTTGTGAGAAAATCAGGGAAGGATACATGAAGTGGACGGACGACGGAAGAAACATCGGTGGTGCCGCTCAGAAGAGCACCCATGGGCTTTACAATTGCAATAATAACATCCGAGTTGTCCTCGGGAAAATATTGCCTCATCGAGCACAATGAAGCAAGGGGTAGTGGTTCTAGTGTCCCCAGTATCTGTGTCATCACCGAACAAAACCGGGTGAGACGCTTCTTGCGCTGCGGCTGGTTTGGGGGAAACATCGATTTCAACGTGAATTTGTATATCTGGTCGAGAAGTGGAACGTGATCGTCGTCTTTGCGGCTGATGATGGCTTCGAAACGTTCGAGAGGAGTTAACCCAACTTCGTTATCTGCTTTGATATATGCACACGCTAGACGCGCCCATTCACATAACCCACCAGATTCGCGCACGATGGATGTTAAAAGTTTATCACCGTGGACGCCATCCACACGTGAGAGTTCGTCGGTGACATAGTGCAGAATGTCACGTTCAGTCGTTGCGATTGGAATGCTATCCATGGACTTTTGAAGTATGTGCTTGACGGCGTTTAACGTGTTGTGGATGTCTGGTAGAGGTCGTGATGTAACAAGAAACCGGAAGTTGGAAGGAAGTTTGTTTATGTGGTTTGAATCATCACCCGATTTGCCAGCCAAGATTTGGAGGAAATGCCGTCGTGTGGTATCCTCGCCACTCTCATCCAATGCATCAATGACGATCAAAGTAGGTCCCACCATCGCCCCCGACAGCTTTGAAGCAGGCTTCACGATCAACTCTTTCCACTGCTGCATGATGTCTGGGGTATTCGTGAGCGAATTGTCACGATGGACAATATCTGCTAGCGCATGTCGCATTTGCTCGTCACGGTCAGCGAGACCTCGTGCGATTGTGGTGAAAATTTTTTCATGACGCCGTTGCGCTGCTCGAGTACGGTTGAAACAATAACAGGATCCCAAGCGTCCAAGTTCTCGGAAACGATCTGCAATTGTATGGGCGATGGTCGATTTGCCTGTGCCAGCGTTTCCGTGGAGCCAGAAAACACGGGAAGCATCATCATCAGTGTTGTTGATCCAAGTCGTGATCTCATCCAGAATTTCCTCTCGAGTTCCAGGCAAACACTTCTTTCTCGTGTCCAATCCTGCTCCTTCCGCACATCTCATTCCGCTCAGGTCCGCACCTTCGACCGGAGCGTGTATGTTAAAAACATCAAGAGTCGACAACATGAAGCACCTACTCAGCTCCTGGATGCCTTCCAACATCCGGTGCACGACCACCACCGTGTCCCGCGCTGCCCTATCCCGAAACTGTTGCATGAGGTCATCGAACACGGTGTTGTATCCCTCTACTCTGCCATCAGTTTCCGATACGACATTTCTGGCCAGCCTGATCCCTGGGAAACAAGATTGTGTGAGCTTAATGAGGACCGCACGTTGCTGTTCGACTCACAAAAATTCTTGCTCTTGGAGTAATCGCGAAGGAAATAGGAACACTCGAGCGTCTGCTGACATATCCGCGCGACAACAGTTTTCATTGATGTGAGAGCCGCCAGGTCGTTCTCTGTGAGAAATATGTACACCTCATCCATCTTTGAAAGGAGTTGGCTGATTGAGTCGTCGCGAGTTGCTTGGGACGTTATTGTCTGTCAGAAATGTATGTCAGTCAGACGTGCATCAGAAACATAAGATATCGTGTGGATAGATGCCTTGGACACAACCGACAGGACACCCCATGCTGCCTTGGCGTATGGATGGATCTACATTGCAAGGTAATTGACGCGATCGCGGCCTGATAAATTTTCATATCTCTGCAATCGTATCAACAAGAGAATTGAACTTGGAAAGTTTTCCAAGCACAGAAGACACTACCCACCTGTCTTACATCCGTCATGGGAGAAACGAGTTGGGAGGTGTTGGGGTGTCTAGTGAAAAGACCTTTGGCCTTATTACGAAGTGAGGCGAAACATCCTCCGCGGGATTGACTGGGCGGTGGTGGAAGATCAGAAGACTACAGAGATATCAGATACGAAAGCGAAGGAACGGAAACAAGCGAACCTCAGGGTGAGCTTCTGAATGAGTTTTTCTGGTACATGTGAAACGCTTCTTGCGACGGGAGTTATCTTGGGCCATGGTCCGTTTCTCGATCAATAGGATAACCTATAGGGACCACATAAACCTGGGACCAAAGTACTTGTAGGCTGGCTGGTACACACCTCTAGTACGTTATGATGTGGTGCAGTTCTAGAAACTAAAACAAATCGGAAAGCAGTTGACACGCCTGTAGGTTCCGCATGAACCCTCTGATAAAAGGTGGCTGATAGTCATGTAAGGGACCTACACACCTCTACTATATAATTCAGCAGAGCGTGGAGAACAGAGTAGTGGTTGACGGGTTCAAGAGGGTTCAAGTTGATGTGCAAGGTTAAAAA